ATGTATTCTCGGCATCACTGGGTGGAAGCAAACCAGGGGTTCAGTGCCTCAGGGTTTTTTTATCAGGCCACAATATTGGTTGCATTTAGCTTAGCTTTTGCTAAAAGAGGAATCCATTCTGTTAAAAGCCCTTGGAAAAGAGCAGTTTCAAGAAGGCTGATTTTGAGAGGAAAACCTCCAACTCTTCTCCAGACCTTCACCTGAATTTGAAATTTGAAATGTTTTTAAAAGCAGCAGCAGCAGCATTAACATTTTATTCTGGATTTGCAGTCAACCACATTGTCATCATCATCATCATTACCACCATTATCACATTTTTATACCTTGCTTTTCTACCTCTCAAAGCAGCTCACAGTCCAAAATAAAAATATACTTAACAACTACCAGTATAAACATCTAATATCTAGAGAAAGATGGAAGCGTTGACCTCTTTCCTAGAGATGGAAAGAGTGGAAGCTAAACACAACTCCTGAAGGAGATGCATGCCATTAAAAGTTCAAAGCATGTTCTTTTGCCTTCCAAACATCTTGCAAAATAAATGGGATTGAGAGAAAGTAAGCCTACCTTCCCCAGCTCTAAAACCAAATCTTTACCCTAGCTGTTCCCAAACTGGTGATCTTTGTAAGTGCTGGCCTTCAATAATTCCCAGCAAACCTAGCCTTGGTTAGATATCTGATCCAACATACCTGAATGAGAGACTGGGAAAGGCTGCTTGAGACTGCTCGAGCAATTCCATCATTTGTTGTTTGTTGGTTTAAATTTATTGGCTGCCCAACTCCAGCAGACTCTGGGATTCATTGGGATTTCATTCATATTCATTGGGATTTCCTTGACATGCAAAAAATTGCAGCTGTGGCTTCAGTGTAATGCAGTTTCCCAAACGAACATGAGTATGATATAGCCCAAACAGAAAAAGACAGCACCCAGCAAAATATGCGTAAAATACTATATAACACCAAGCGGCTTGAGAGGTTTTCTATTCCGTTGGTTTCCTTCCAATCTCTCCTCCTCTATTTTCCCCTTGTTTTCCCTTCCCCTCTGAATTTTTACATTCATCCTAGTGATCCTAAACATCCAAAGGGTCAGGCGGTCAACTCTGCAGAATAAGATAAAGGTCGCTGGAGTGGAGCTCACTAAAAGTATTAAGTTTACAATCCTGACAAATCATTCCCATAGCTGAGCCTCTAAAAGGAATGGAAGATGTCATGAAATCAATCAGCCATTATAAACAGGCCTCTGAGAAGAAAGGAGGGGTGTGTGTGTGTGTGTGTGTGTGTGTGTGTGAATACAATCTGACCCATCCTCTTCCTTTTTAGTTTTTGATCTTCTTGTTTCTTTTAACAAAAGATATTATTTTGGAAAATGAGATTGGTCTTCAGGCTTCTCATGTATTCTTCTTCTCTGCATAGTTAATATAATTCTCCTAATTTAATTTCTGATATGGCAGCAGGGGGTTAGTCGCCAAAATATGCCGTTAGGAACCCATGGTCGCTCTCTGCAGGTTCAAGATTTTTGTCTGTATGTTTGTGTGTCTGTTTGAAAGTTGTAGGGACTGACGCAGGTGACATAACCCTGACATCTTGATACTCTTCCTCTCGTTGCAGGAATAGTATTGTATCCGTGCCCTTTTCCATTTTCTCTCTGTTCTGTCCAAGGTCCTGAAATCTGACCTGCCATCTTGGGCTTCCAGAATGAATTGGTAGAAACCTGAGCGGGTAATGAGTGAAAAGCATTCTATTTTTAAAGCATCATTGTTTTTAAAAGCCCACCTTTCTGGAAATAAAAATACTCTAGCACATCAGGCTGGACCTGCAGCCAAAAAAACAAAAAGTTGTAAAGGAAACCTTAAATAATGAGAGGCCTTGCTTGCAGTCTGAACTGGTATGGAAAACTCACTGCCTCATTCTCACCTCATTTTGATGTGCTCATACACTTGGCCTCAAGGGCCAACTGACCCTGGATTGAAGTTCTGAAATATTACAGGTTTAACCCATGCTTTGATGCAGATGTGGGTGTGCTCCTGCACAAGAGAGGAAAAGAAATAAATTAGATTCATTCAATCCAGTAAGCCAAAGTGTTTGATGCTACCTTACCAAATTGGGTTGAACCAGCAAAGGTGTGTTATTAAATGTATTCTGTGGTTTATTGAGTCATACAAATCCATCTAATTGTGATTTCTCCAATAAACTGTCATTTCCCCAGTAAATTGTGGACAAACATAGCATGGCTGAGCGTGGGTGTATTCGATCAGAGAGATTAAGAGACAGTTGCAAGGAGATGACCTGTCCTCCTCTCTAGGGCAAGCTTATGAAAGATTTTCAAAGTTTCGTCAGGCTGATGGGCCCAGGGCTTTAATTACCCAACCCTCTTTTTTATCTTTTTTCCTCAAAGAGGAACGATGGTTAAGCTGGCCTCCTCTGTCCTGTAGGTGTCTTTCAGCTCCCGGAATTCTTAGCACTGGCCATGTTGCCTGGGAAGTTCATGGAATTGTACATATCCACTTACAGTCTCCTGGCCAGAAACAGTATAGAAATATTATAAATAAAATATAAAATAAACTCGAGAACATCCTTGCAGGGGAAGATTGCTGTTTATGGCTAGGTTCTCATTTTCCTCCAGAATAGGAGAAAAGCTGAACTAACTCTCTTTCTCTGGACATTGTAGGAGGAGAGTCTATGGTAGCCAAGAACCAGGAGTCTGGTAGCAGCTTTTCTAACACATTTTATTAAAATGCATAAGCTTTCATGAATTACAGCTCATTTCATCAGCAATCTTCCCAGTGTAAGAGTTGCACTGGGTGGGTGGTGATGGTCTAGCATGCTGTGAATCACTGTGACCAGATCAAAGGGTATCTGACCCAGATGTAATAGTTTAATTCCTTTTAAATTAAGAAAGAATTCCCATCCTTTTAATATAGTTTAATAGTCTTACTAAAGTTTTAGTACATCCTGCTGAATCTGGGAATGCAAACACACATGCATACATAGACAAAATCTTGATAGTTGCAGGAAGTCTTGGGGCTGAAAGTTGACATTATTTGTATTCTGCTTTTCAGATCTTCAGATCTTTTGAAACAGTTTTCTGAGACAGGACAGATTGCTTATCCTTAGGCAGAAGGCCCACTAGAGTGAATTCATGGCACAACAGTGAATTGGGGACTTCTTGGTTTGTACTGCAGTCTGGAAATGTGTGACCTCCAAGTTCACCTTTCTTTAGCAGAAACTAGAGTACCTCCAGCCATACAGTATATGGCTTCACAGGGTGGGCAAGGGGCACTTGAACCTCAAGCTTGACTGAAAATCCCCTGCAAAACCATCACCAGAGCTTGCTGTCAGATTCTTTCAAAATATGGGGTGTTTTGGAACTACCTTTCCCCACTCCTCTTTTCAATATGGTGTCACACATTAGCATTTCATGCTGCCAGACGTTTCGTCGTCCCTCCATTTGAAACATCATGCTTGACTCCCAGCACGTTCAGATGCCATCAATGCGAACAACTGATGCTCACACAGCAGTGGATACATTTAGACATGAAGCAGTAACAGAGCCAAAGTGGTTATATTTTTGTAAGCCCCCCCCTTTTTTTGGGGGGGGGTTTGAATGCTGCTTATTGCAAATTGTTGTCTGTTAATTTAATTTAATGTTTTGTTTTAATATGAGGATCTGTACGACAATGCTGTGTCTTGGTGTTCAATTTTAATTAAATGCATACTTCCAGATTTGATTACTCATAGCTCCTCTTTCGTTAATTTACTCATTTGCAGTTTGGACAGAAATCCTTCCAATCTAATGCAAAGTGATGGGGACTGGGTCTATCCAATGGGGGAAGAAAACAGCTTCCACAGAATGGGGGAAGGAAACAGCTTTAGTGCAAGAACACTGTTGGGTTCTTATGTTCTCCTTCTGGTGTGCAGAAGGTGTGCTGAGCATGTCAAAGCCTCCTCTACAGTAGCCTTCTGATGTCATTGTTTTTGGCTGCCATCTTTGCATACTGGCAAAACTACCCCTACAGGTCTTGTGCAGCTGTGACCAATTGATGGTGAACCATTTTGCCTTTGTGGGGGCATACTTGTGAACATATCTCATATCAGGATATATCCTTGAATTATCAGACGGTCAAACTACATACTACTTTCAAAAAGAGATAGCATCCCAACTTTTTTTTTTCTTCTGTGTTCTGCTATGGTTGAGAGGTTGTTTTTCTGCTCTGTAGGCAGAAGTTTTTAATCCCTTGCTCTTCAGATGTTAACAAGATTCTGCTAATGTAACCTAACAAGAAAGATAGAGCTAGGACTCATTGTTGTACTTCTTGTCTCAACTGCCTTGCAGGGCTGACATCAATCTTGCAAGACTGAGAGTATTTCTCCCCTCCTTTCCTTTTACTCTCCAGAAAACTAGGGAGGGTCCCTTCTGAAAAGCTTCCCACACCCTCCCTCCTCGTGTGGGCTGAGACATCTTTTACACACCAGTTGCCCCATCTGTAGCTCTGCCTCCTGCTCCCGAGGTCATTCCCACATACCGTTACAATCAGTGAATGAACAAGTATAATGTTTTTGATTCATTTGTTTAATTGGGTTCTCTTTATCCAGTTTTAGGACTTGTGTGGAGAACAGATCCTGCTTAGGTCATACTTACACCAAAATATTGAAAGTTCAGAAGGGTTCACAAACTTTTAAGCACCACTGTAATTGATCGTGGGGCTGAGAGTAGGGATAGGAAAGTGGAGGCATGGAAGACTTTGCAAGAATCATAGAGAAGTTGGAATGACAGAGCACAGCTGTGGCCTTCCAGATAATGATGGACTTCAGTTCCCAGCATGTCCAATGGTGTAGTTTCATGGGAGTTGAAGTCTAGTCAAGACTGGAAGGTCAATTGTTAGTAATGTTTGGAATTTACCATCTGTATGTTTTGTTAATCTGTGTTTAATATTCTCTCTCTTTCTCTTTCTCTTTCTCTTTCTCTTTCTCTTTCTCTTTCTCTTTCTCTCTCTTTGCAACCAGGACTCACAGCCATGGCTGAAGCAATGAAGTTGCAGAAGATAAAGCTTATGGCCATGAATAGCCTCCACGGAAGTGGGAGTCAGAATGGGACAGAATCGGAGAATGAAGAGCTGAATTCTAATGCAGGTAAAGCAAGTCTCCACTGTGAACTGTTGCATTAGATACACAAAGAGTTTTTATTTTCACTTTGTTGCTATTTTGGATAATATGGACCCTTAGAATAGTCATTTTATCTGAAACCGAGAGAGTATCGTACATAGGGCAGCTGCAGGAATGCAATGTGGAAGATGACAATATGCCTTTCCATTATTTCTTAGTGCAACATGAATCATGCTACCTTTTTTTTCCTTTAAAAAGACACTCTAAGAGGTTCGGAAACCATCTGTAATTGGCAGGAAAAATCTCTATACAAAGGAGATTCAGCCCCACTTTTTTTTTTTTTTCCTTCTTCTTTTTTGGCAACAGCTTTTGTTATGCTCCCAGGTTTTGTTTTGTTTTGTCTTTTTTTCTTTTTTTAGAAATGTTAATCATGCCTTTTGATTTTGGAAATGGCAATGTGAACGCTCAGCCAGAAGGGGAAAAAGTGTGTAGATAGCTGCATTCCTCTTATTCAGAATAACCATAATTTGCATGCATGCAGTACATTTCAGAAGTTTGAAAGCACTGATCATCCTGATGACTCTTATGACCACTCCCTGAGTCCAGTATGGGCAAATTCTTAAGGACTGGGGGATACAACTCCATCTTCTGACCTTCTGGAAGACTTCCGAGGCCAGGTGGTGACGTGGTGATATGACTGACAAGGTTGAGAGCAATAATCTGGGGTCATTTTTGTTTGTTTCTGGATTGGGGGGGTAGATAAGAGTGGGAATGGGGGAAGGCCTTTAAACCCCTGAGAAACAGCCCAAAAGATTATTGTTGGGGTGTGAAAAGTTAGAGGTGGAGATGTTTAAGGTGACTTAAGGGAGCGTGGGACTCCCCTGTTCTCCTTTAGTGTACTACTATGCTATTACAGTTCTGCTTTACAGCAGCTGAAAAGGCAGTTTAGAAATGGAGCTGGTTTGCAATCAAATGGCCAAGATAGAAACTTGATTTCACCTTTGTTCCTGATAAATTGCCATTGTTTCTTTTAAAACGTATTACAGATGATAATGAAAGAACTTCTCCCTTGGGGAGTAGGTTAGATCACACAGTAGATAACCACAGAAGCAGCAAAATAACATATAAGAGTAGGGATGTCCGAAGGGTGTGATCAAAACAGTCAAGATGGCGGTCACCATATCGCAACACATATAAAAACTGGCCACCATTTTGGCTGTTTTGACCACATCCAGAGGATACTCCAACCTAACAGGAAAGAACCCCCAGCACCCGTTCTCACTTTGGCACAATGAAATGAGTTCAGCAACCCTGTGACATTCTAAAGCATCATGAAAAAAGGTGGTTGAAAAACAGATGTCTCTTTAGAAGAAGAAAAATGTTTAGTAAACGGTTGGGCAGTTTAGCAAATTTAAACCTGAATTTGCTGCGCCATGGTGATGAAGACCAGATGAATGACAGCCAAGTAACATGCTGTTTTTGCCTGTTTAGATGCTGCTGAAAAATGACATTATTTCAGGTCCCTGTAATACTTGGAAACCTTGCTGTGGGGACTGTAACCTCAGCATTGGTGCTGCAGAGTTGGGCAGGGGGAATCTATACGCCGAAAGAATCTTTCGGACAAGTGTAAGAACACTATAAGCTGCTTTTCTTGTGCTCAGGCAAATATTTCCTCATCTCTTGGAGGGATGGAGAACATATTTTGCGATGTGTGGGTGATTGCGTGTGGGCAGACAGCGAAGACATGAGTGTGTCTGCAGCACTGGCTACACTAACAACTAATATTAATACACTAAATCATTGTATTCCACATAAATGCACTAAAATAGAGCCAGTTTGGTGTAGTGGTTAAGGCATCAGGCTAGAAACTGGGAGACCGTGAGTTTTAGTCCTGCCTGAGGCACAGTCAGCTGGGTGGCCTTGGGCCAGTCCCTCTTTCTCAGCCCTAGGAAGGAGGCAATGGCAAACCACTTCCGAAATCTTGCCAAGAAAACTGCAGGGGCTCGTCCAGGCAGTCGCCAGGAGTCAACAGTGACTCAAAGACACAAAACAAAACACTAGCACACTAAATCAGTCTATCCCAACTCAAAAGTGACCACGTCTAGTTCCTAGTATGTTTACTTCTTAAAGTCCATGCACTACATTTAAGTTTACTTTTTCTTTTCTTTTCCTTTTGGAAATCAGTTCTTGCAACTCTTTCTACCGTTTGAGCTCATCGCTGATCATTATGTATTCTTTCAAATACTGTAAGTCTTTTGGGAGTCTGGGAGCTCCAGAATCTAATAAATAAATAAATAGAATGTTCTGAGCATAGGAATAAGGATATGTACAACTCACCCTTTCAGGAAAAGGATGTTCTGGAGAATGTTCTCCTTCTGGTGTCATCTCCCATTGACCTCTTTGACCTTCCAAAAAGTGAAGAGGCTAATGATGCCTACCCCTGAATCTCTAGTCTGTTCTGACTTGCAATTGTTCTCTGGATTTTCAGACTCAGTATTGGAGAACCTTTTATGGAGACATGGTAGGGTATACAGGATTTATGGTCAGCCCAGAAAACGTTCCATCATTGGAACTGCAATCCTCCGTCCCCATACTCTGACTTGCATGACTTCTGTGCCTGCCTTCCTGCAGTTTCCAAAACCTAGAGAGTTCTTTGAAACTCTGAAACACTTATAATAAACTTGGGTTGGTGCGCAAACTTTCACCAAAGGTTTGTGAGGTGGCATGTAATGTAAGGATGTTTGACCCATAAGTCTACATAAGTGCTAAAAATAAACAAAATGGTGGTGTAAAACAAAAATAAAAGAAGATTGGATTTTGAAAGTGACTTCTTCTGAAATCAGCAGGGAAATGTGTGGGCACACGCACACACACACACACACACACAAGCAGTAAGCCACATTTATCGAGGCAAACATTTTATTTTAAGGAGACAGACCTACAGTTTCTTTGATTCGAGGTTGTGTTTAATAGCTTCTCTAATGGTTGCAACATGACTCTGCATCTTGATTTCAGCATGAATAACAACCTGTTCGTGTTTCATTTAGTTCCAAATGAGAAATTCTGTCTTTTTATTGTTTTAGGAAATTAGTCTGTGTACTATTGCTCCTGGAACTTTATAATTAATCACGAAAGGTTATGGCTATTGAGAGTTTGGGGGAAATAGGCGCTTGAATGGTTATAACTGTAGCTGTCAAATCAGAAATATGGGTTTACAGCAATTGATTTTGTTATTCTTTTGAAGATATAGTGTTACACATGCATGCACACACTCACATGTACACACTTCAGTGCAGAATTACAAAGAGTTTGAAGTTGCCTGTTCACTTATAAAAAATAAGGAGAAAGAACGCCTTCACCTCCTCCTCCTCTCCTTCTGAATTTGCTACAGCGTCATTTTCACTAGAGAGACAGAAGAAATATGCCATCATTCATTTTTACAGAATATTATGTTTGGTGTGTTTTGCTGGCATTTTAACCCACATTAAGGGTTGGGGCTCATAGTGGGGTCTTTTTTTGTAGGTCCACCAAACTGCTTCAAACTACGAGGACTGAAAAATTGGTAGCATGGGTTCCTACTATTTTGAGGTGGGTAGTATGTGACAACCTTAGTGTAAACCCTGAAAAATTAGCTTAAGGCAGTTAGAAAGCAATGATGACCCCTTAAAAAGCTGAAGGGGAAAAAGGGGGAATTCCAACCATGCTTTACTTATTTATTTAAACATATTTCTATGCCACTGCAGTCAAAATGACTCCTGGCGGCTCACATAGAAAAAAATACAATATAAAAATAAAAACCCAACAGCGCTAGAACAATAAAAAGAGAATAAAAAGATAGCTATGTCAAAGTAAGTCAAAGCAAACCAGGGAAAGGCTCTCTGAAACAGCTCATCATATGGGTGATGTGGGTCCACCCATTTTACCCCATCACTTTCCCATTCAGTGGTTGCCTGTACCGTTTTGAACTAGAATGTAGTAATCTTGCTCATATAAAATGAGATTTATTTGGTCCTGTCTTTTCTGTTACCATAGTACATGCTTTAAAAAAGACAAATGGATTCAGAGCAAAAGTACCACTTTCTAGGGGAAGATGTCAAACGATAGATTCCTCAAAGATCTTGCTTATGCTTTTCCAACCAACTTGCTTGCTCTCCGGAGTCCAGAACCAAAATAGCTGATCTTGAGAATGGAAACAAAAATGGAGGAGAAAAAGCATCTGTTTCATCTCTGTGGTCTCCTCAGCCTCCCAAGTTTGATTCTCCAAACTTAGTGCAGAATATATATGGGAGAAGCATTGTAAGAGTCATAAGCCCCAGACTAACCACAGTTTTGCTGTCTGTAGATGTTAGTAGCATAACTTGTCTCTGTGTCTGTGGATTTACAGATCAGCCATACAAGAGAAGTGCCAGTTTGTTTATACATCATGTCATTTCAGATTTTTGTTTAAACCATTGTTTGTTTAATGAACCATAGTAGCCTAGTTCTCATTCAACAGAGACTCCTTCAACTTCAGCTTTTCCATAAAGTATTTTTGGGGCCAGAAAGAGTTAACCATCACCTTCTCCTAGAGAGTTTTCAAAGTCTGGTATTCTCTGGTAGCCTCTCACCCAAGTACTAATTTAGCTCAGTCCTTGCTAAACCCAGATTATGCTGATGTGTGTGATATGTGACACACATATACACATCATAAACCGGCATGCAGTGAAGTTGAAATAGGTGCCATTCAATGTTGTTGAATATTTCTGTATCAGAAACATCCCATGTAACTTATATACATTGGTATTGATAGTAAATAGCGGATTATTTATCACTGGGCACTGAAGTGGAAAATCTGTGAGCCAGCCGACGAAATGGAAAGGAAGAGAAACCATGGGAAACATGGAGGCTGTTTCACATCCCCGAGCATCTGTTCCCCTTGAAGAATTCTTCCTGTGCCTGTGTTTTAGAAGGATCAGGAGAAAACTAGAGTCCTGGCCTGTTTTTACAAGCCGTTAAGCAAAATCATAGGACAGTGAGCTCGGCTGCTT